GCTGGTATCTAAAGTAGCAGGTCTTCAACCGTAGATTCATGTGGTCTCTCCAGACCAGGAAGCTTAAAGTAGGTGAGGGTGGCACGTCAGCAAATCTGTCCTTCAGCCCCACTGTCCGGTGGCTTTGTGTCTACTGACCTGTCTCTAGGGACATACCTGTGTCTCCCCTGGGCCACCTACATCCTTAGGTCTGACTACACTAATCAGAGATTTTTTTTTTTTTAGATAGATCTTTCCACAACATAACATTTCCTTTCGGGGAAATGTTTTCCAGCCAAAGATCCTACAGGGTAGGTTTAACTTTTACATTTCTCCCTCAGTTTGATTTAACAATATTTTGAGTATGCTTTGGAGTGTGTGGTCTGAATTTGCAACCATTTCTCTATTTCACTGAAGATGGAGGGGTTTTTATTGGTTTCTGTTTGCAAGGGCAGGGGGTGGTGGTGTCTTTTTGTTTCTGTTCTATTATTATTAGATTTTTCAGTGAGTTTTGAGAATAGTGGACTAAAAATGCTTATTCAATTATGTTTAACTGGAACACTTGGTGTTTCTTTTCTGAACCATTTTCCAATTTGATGAAGCCAAATATTTCAAACGCTTGTTGCATGTGCATTCATCAAATACTCAACACAAGACATTGCCAACGTGCTCACAGGCTTCCAAAGAATAACATCGGAACTCCTCAACTTGAGTTTCAAGGTTGAGTTTTCTTTTCAAATGTCACACCCACCACTCCCTCTGCGCAGCCTTACACTCCTAAAAGCCTGATCTTTTCTTCCTTTAATAGGCTGGTTCATTCCAGCTCCTGTCTTCTTGCTCATATAGTGCCAGGTAATCTAATATATGAGGAGCCCTAACATAGGTACGATGAATTTGCTTTTTAATTATTTTACTTATTTCACTTCATGAAAGTGGATTAAACAGAGAAATGGTACTGTAAAGGTTACCACAAAATTGTTTCTGTTTAGCTGCAATCTGTGTGATTCCTGGGTTGAAAACTTTGATCATCAAACCAGATATTGGTAGGGCAGAACTTTCCCATTCTACACACTGAAACTGAATCCCTGGATTTTTAATTTTCCTGGCTGTTAATCTACAGGAAACCCTCATGAATAGTTTGCATTCTGTATACATTAATAAATCCTCCGTTGAGATACTTTCATCTTCATAGAAGACGCCCACAGAATACAATAAATCATTTCGTTTTTATTTGGTAATGCAATCTTTATTGAGCAATGAACCCTTTGTATATAAGTCAGAAATTTATTGAATAGAAAAGAAATGTCTTAATAGTAAGCACTTGTATTACTGTGGCATAAATAAACTTTGAAGTTTCACATTAAGAACTTTGTTGTACTTTATTTAGTGGTACTGAAAAGTAATGAAAGGATCTATACTTATACAAGCTTTAAGGATACATTTTAAGGTTTGCAGAATAATTTAAATTTAACAGAAGATGGAATTCTTTGGGATATTTTATTAGGGTGGATAAAAGAAGGCATGCAAGTGCCAGGTCAAAAGATATGGCATTTACTACTGTTGGTGAGTAAGCACTGTTGTTTTACAGGCCATTCAAAGACAAGCCCTGTGCCTATGCAGTGAATAAACTGGAACTTCCTGGCTCACAGATTTCAATTGCCATACTTTTCTTATCCCATCTCAAAAGAACAACCCATTGTGATTACAGTGACAGCTGGTAGGAATGACTAAAGCAATTTCTCCTGTTTATTTACCCTCTTGGGTAAATAAATATCATCTTGTGCATCTCAAGGCCGACACTGGGTGACTGTGTGTGATGCTAGTGGTCCATATGCCATCAGTGGACCAACATCAGTCTGGACTTGCATGCCCGGCATGTGGGTGCTCCCCGCCCCCACCTGCAGCTTTGACACTGGTCACCAGCCAGCACAGCATGTTTCTGATCTGCCTCTATGTGATTATGAATGCAGTCTGGGAGACTGGGTGCCTTTATTATTATTATTATTATTTTTATCACTTGTCTCTCAGCTCCAAATCCTCTGTTCTGCACCCTGCTCTGTAAAACTGGAACTAGAACTCTGCGAACTGATTGTCCAGGACTCCTTTGCCAGCTGGCTCCCCGGTTCTACCAAGAAAAAGAGACTGGAGGGTGGGAGAAGAAACTTCCTGCTCTTTCTTGTTCTTGGCAAAGTCACCCAAGTAGTTGGGTGACAATTGGCTACAACTCCTGCTGCCAACTAGCTCTTTTTGATTCTCCCAGAAAGGGCCACGCTCCCTGAGAGAGGCTGGCAGTGGAGCCGCCGGTCAGCACCTCCCCGAGTCTGAACACCAACACGTCAGGGCCCCACCACTCGGCACCTCCCTTTCTTTCCTGCACTTACCATTTCTGAGTTAGTTTGATGTTCCTCTTTGCTCTCTCAATCCTCCTCTATCTGTGTAACCAATTGCCTGTACTAAATCCCACCTTCCTGAAATATAGTGCGGTTACTGTTTTCCCGGCTGGATTCTGACTCCACGAGAGTGACAGAGTGTTCAGAGGACAAGACTAGGAAATCACCTTTACTAGAATCCCAGACTCCAAATACACAATGTGTAATTCTTTCAAAATCACTTAATTTAAAATTTATGCTTAAATTTATATAGAGTAAAATTGACTCCCTGTGATGTCCAGCATATGGATTTTGACAAACGCATAGAGATGTGTATCCGCTACTACGATCATAGTACTGAACAGTTCCCTGACCCCTAATTCCCTCCTGTTGCCCTTCGCAGCATCCCTTCCCCAGCCCCAGCCTTTGATTACCGTGGTTCCGTTGTTCATCCCCACAGTTCTGTCTTGTATGGAATGTCACGTAAATGGAATCATACAGTATGTAGCCTTTTGGGTTTCGTTTATCTCAGCAAAAATGCATTTGAGATTCCTCCATCTTGTTGCATAAAATCACTTAATTTTAATATTAATATTCATGTACTACATCAGCATAGTTTAGATTCTGCTCTGCTGATACCCTCGAATGCCTGTATTATAAAATTTTCTATTGCTGTATAATAAATCACAATAAATTTAGAGGCATAAAACAATACCCATTTATAACCTTACAGTTTCCAAGGGTCTGGAGTCCATCCTCTGTTCAGGGTCTCACAAGGTTGGGACCAACATGTAGGCCAGGGCTGGCCAGGGCTACAATCTCATCTGAGGCTCATGACCCTCTTCTAAGCTCTCTGGTTGTTGGCAGAATTCAGTTCCGTGCAGTTCTAGCTCAGGCCTCTGTTTTCTCCCTGGCTGTCGGCTGATGGTCTCTCTCAGCTCCTCGGCTCTCTCAGGCTACAGTTTCCTGCCACGTGGCCCACTCCCCAATGAGGCAATTTACTCCTTCAAGGCTAGTAGAAGTGTGTCTCTCTTGCTTCAAATCTCTCCCTTCAGCGATGCCTCAACTCTCTTTTAAAGGGATGGCCTGATTAGACAAGATCCACCCGGGATAATGTCTGTCTTGGTTAATTCAAAGGCTGCTGAGCAGGAACCTTAATTACATCTGCAAAATCACTTGGCCTTTGCCACATAATGTAACCTAGTTCCAGAAGTGAAATTCCATAACATTCAGGTGTGCTGCCCACATCAAGGGATTATTGAGGGTTTGTACACCAGGAAGCAGGGATCTTTAGGACTATTTAAAAAATTCTACCTACCACAATGTTCTATTCCTTTCTACCAATTCAAATGCTTCTCATATAGGCCATCTCAAATCTCACTTCTTTATGAAGTCTTCCCTCAATGCTCATTTTGTAGGTAACAAAATCGAGGCCCAGCGTATATGCAACCCGATGATAATGACTCAACTGATTAATGGCAGAGAGCCCATTCCACAGTCATTTCACCTCTCTAGGCCTTAATTTCCTCATTTGCAAAGGTAGGGATTTAAAGTGGGGACTATTCAGGTGTCCCTGGCTCTAACAGAAACAGATGCAAATGGGATGATTCCACCATGAGAAACTGGGCACGTCCCTGTAGGGGGAGCAGAGCAGTTCAACTTTCATCTTATTTACATATTGTCACACCAAGGAAAATTTTGTGTGAAAAAAAGTTTTTAAGAACTTCAGGAAAAAACCTTTAACACCATTGGTTTAGCCTAACCTCCTTATCTTACAGATGAGAAAGCTAAGGTTCTTTCTCACTCTGCATTTCCAGTTCTGGGCGGTGAGACGAAAGCCTTGATGGAGGCGCCAATCTGAGTAGGGGCAGAGGAGGACGATGGATGAACAGGCAGAGCAAAGGCCGGGTGGGTAGACTGAATAATGGCCTCCCAAGGTGTCCATGTCTTAATTCTCCGGACCTGTAAATGCTATTGTATGTGCTGAAAGGGACTTTGCAGACGTGATTAAATTAAGGATCTTGAGATACAGAGATTACTCTGGATTCTCCAGGTGGGTTCTATGCATCACGAGAGTCCCTACAAAAGGGAGGCAGAATAGAAGAAGGAAGGGAACATGAAAAGAGGACAAACAGATTTGAAGGTGACACATTGCTGGCTCAGAAGATGGAGGAAGGCGCCATGCGCCAAGGAATGTAAGGAATGCAGCGCTACAGAAAATACAAAGGAAAGATTCTGTGCTTGAGCCTCCAGAAGGAACCAGCCTTCAGACACTTTGACTTCAGTGCAGTGAAACTGATTTAGAACTTCTGACCTCCTGAAAGAGAATAAACTTGTGTTCTCTCAAGCCGCTTAGTCTGTGGTAACTTGTTACAGCAACAGGACACTAATACATCAGGGATTAGGAGAGAAGTGTATATGTCCAGGGGATATGTTAAAATAAAACAGGGAGTCTCAACATTTTTGGTTACAACTCTTGGTAAGAAATACATCTTATATCAATATCCAATGTGAGCAAGCATACAGTTGTGCACACACAAACAGACATAAAGAGAATACAAAATTTTGCAAATTGATATTTATTTCACAAAGTATACCGGTATTTTCTGTATTATTTTATTCTATTCCTTTAGCTCATTTTTTTAAAAAAAAAAATGCTGGTTGGAACACATTAAATTGACTTCATAATCCCCTAATGGATATCTTGGAAAACACCGGCATTCAGGGAAGAGAACAGGCCCTAAGAAGCGTAGACTAGGATCCAGCTGAGAAGGGCTTTAAAGTCAGCCTCTTGACAGCACATGACAAATGCTTCTCAGTAGCTCACAGTTGGTGCTGCTGCCAGCAGGGCTCTAACAAATTACAGACCATATCAAGTGTTTCTCCAGAACTCTGAATTCTCTTTCAAGGGTTCCCAACTGAGGGTGATTTTGCAGCACAGGTCCTGTTGGACAGTGTCTGGAGAAATTTTTGCTGTCGCATCTGGGAGCGGGGCTGCCACCAGCATCTAGTGGGTAGAAGCCAGGGCTGCTGCTGGTAATCATCCTACAATGCACAGGATAGCCTCCGCCATGATGAACTGCCCAGCCCAAAATGCCCATGGTGCCCAAGTGGAGAAATCCTGCTCTCGCTGCATCTTTCTGTCAGCAGTGTTCGGTGGTCGTTCAGTCCCTTTTGAAACCTTTCCCCAGCGGCGTCCTCCCTTACAACGCCCTGTGCTCCAAAACTATGCCTCTCCTACCTAGCATAACACGTCACAAGCTCTTGTGAATTAGGCTTGTGATAAGTGATAGCTGCATTTAAAAGAAGAGTTTATTATTAATGAATCTGAAAGTAGTGATTGGGACTGTGCCAAGTATAAGAGATCTTCTTGGCACAAGGTGGCCTATTCCAGGCTGCCGCTATAAGCGAACTAAACAAACACATCTGCACATTGTTTCAAACCTCCAAAATTGCAGAGTAGCTAATCTCTGTCATTTAAAAATATGCTACTTTAGGTTACTGGATTTTACTGCAATCAGTTCTCAAGTACTGTTTGAAGATCATTTGAACAGGGCACATGTAGCGTTGGTCCATTGAAAACTGGGATGACGACTTCCACATTACAAAGCTGTTTAGGAGCTCTTTTCACTCTACTAATATTTTTACCATTGTCTCTAAATCTGCATGTTCCATTGTAGCGCACTAGAAAAGCACCTTAAGGATAGAAGGAATAGTGAGTAACCAGCTTCTGTTGTTTCTACCAATAACTGGTATAAAGTATACCATATATTTAGGAAATGACATCTAATTAAAGTCAAAGTGGGACAACTTTCCCTGGGAGGCCCAGGCAATATTAACAAGGCCAGTTCATTGAGATACAGTAGTGTGGTTAGTATCAAAGGATGGAATATGAAAATAATCTATTTTGACTTCCATATTTGGGGGCTTTGGAAAAAACCCACATGTATTGGTAATAATCCCAGGATAAATGTTTTTCAGGTTTGGGTACTAGTGTCTCTTCTTGTTTCATGGGAATATGAAAACACCTGTAAAAATAAACTCTAGGAAGTTGAAAGATACACTACAAGGACAGTTTTAAACATCATAATTAGAATCCCTGCCTCCTCAAACTAAAATAGCTTTACTGTGGAAAATGATCTTAATTTCTGTGCTGCAATACGCAGCCCCTCCCCAACCCTGGGGGAGATTGGCGGTGAGGAGACATCTCAGCAAACCAAAATTCAGGAGCTTGAATAGTTAAGGAAGGTGTCTGAAAAAGTAGGTTCCAGAAGGGCATGTTCCAATCAGAAAAAAACATTTGAAAGTGAAAATATTTACCAACCAGTCAGGTTCCTTCTGTATTTGTACGGACTTCCCCTGAAGCAAAGGCACATAAATTAAAACAAAACAAAACAAAAAAAGCTACCATTTCGTTAAATGCTGACCTTGTGTTTGGCACTGTGTTAAGCACGTTACATGAATTAGTTTATGCAATCATCACATGATTACCCCATCAATTCTATGGGGTAAATACCATTGGCATTCCCACTTATGGATGAGAAAACTGAGGTTTACAGGAGATTATCTGGTTTAAGAGGAGATGAAACTAGAATTAGAAAGCAGACATTTTGACTCCAGAGGCCATGCAATGAATCTTCCTGAGGCACGCAGTGCAGGAGATTCTTTCGAGTGCTGCCAAAGGATTATTTTACAATGGGCCCAAAGTGAAGGGAACTGTTGAAGTGCGAATGGTTGAAATTGGAGAGGTCAGAGAGTTCCTTTTTTCCCTGTTCCCAATCTCATTGATTTCTGTGGAGCAATCTATTACAGAAGATAATTCTAACACAGAAACTGTATTCCCCAAATCCCGTGATCTTACACAAGTAGTAGCCGAACAGGTATCCTTACTTCTTTCTCACCTGCAATAATCTTCAGGTTGGTCTCTCTCTCTTCCTCTCTCCCCCTACACATAACACACACACACACACACCATACTTAACATCTGGCTTTGGAGTCTCACCGAGCGAGCTGTGTTAAGTCAATGGCAAGAACGCAAGCAGTAGGGGCCTAATTAAATCCATCTCTAAGATGGCTGTGATTTCCACCAGATGACACATGATAACTATTATTTACTGTTCCCTGAAAAACATCTTTTTGGTCAGACATCAATGAGCTGTGCAGGAATGGTGGATGGGGGCTCCTTTCTTTTCCAACTGGTCTCTTGATATGAGGAGCCTGAAATAACCAGAGGGCAGCTGTGGATTAGAAGTTAATGTGTGCCTTGTTGTGTCTCTGAAAGAAGCATTTCCTTTCCAGGAACCAAGACCTCTGCACCCATAGGTGCTAGAGTTGTGAGGACTGGAAGCACAAATTCCTCAAGTGGGTCACTGGGAGTGGTGAGTGGGGCCACTTCTACTTCTACCCCTTGGTATTTGGAACTGTGGAGCTCACCTACTGGGGGCACAGCACCACATAATGGTTGTGGATTTAGGATGTATGTTACATCCTGTGAATATGCCGATCTATGTAGAGTATCAGCTCCAAGGTGGTGCTCAGGTGTACCTTTCAAAGGCCATTCCATTGCTCTATCAGTCCAGCAGCTTCTGGATTTCATGGCTTGTGGCAAGATGAGTCAATCTCATGGATCTCTATTCAATGCAGTATCTCCTTTGCTGTAAAGTGGATTCTATGGGCCTTTGTGATGTTATGTAGAATCCTATATAGGTCAACCAAACTCTTTGTTTGTCCTTGGATAGTGTCGTTGGCTGAGGCCATGCAGCCAGGAAGGATATGCTCATATACAGAATATGCATAAATTCCAGTCAGGATTAATTTGCTCCTCTTTCCAAGATGGAAAAGGTCCAAAGTTACCTGCCACCACATAGCTGCTTGGTTGCCTCAAGGGATGGTGCTGTATGAGAGGCAGAGCTTGGTCTCTTACTGGTAGATAGGATATTTGGCAGAAGCAATAGTCAGATCAGCCTAGCTGAGTAGGAAAGGAGCCTGTGCTCTTAGGCCCATGTGTAGCCTCCATCCCTGTTACCATGGCCAGTCTGGTCAAGTTACCAGTTACTGTGTCAACGCTGCAGTGGACAGTAACAGAGGCAGACTGCCACTTTGCTGAGTCCTTCTGTCTATTTGACTGTATAGTGCTTCTGCTGAGATAAATGCTTTCTGATGTGTAACATATAATTCAAAATTTTCAAATGCAAACTTGTTCAGCCTCTGTGGAAAGCAATATGGAGATACCTTAAAGCTATACAAGTCGATCTACCATTGGATCCAGCAATCCCATTACTGGGCATCTACCCAAAAGAACAAAAGTCGCTCTATGAAAAAGAGACCTGCACTTGAATGTTTATAGCAGTACAATTCACAATCACAAAGATGTGGAAACAACCGAAGTGCCCATCAATACATGAGTGGATTAATAAAATGTGGTATATGTATACCATGGAGTACTATTCAGCTATAAGAAACAACGGTGATATAGCACCTCTTGTATTTTCCTGGCTAGAGCTGGAACCCATTCTATCAAGTGAAGTATCCCAAGAATGGAAAAATAAGCACCACATGTACTCACCAGCAAATTTGTATTAACTGATCAACACCTAAGTGGACATATAGGAGTAACATTTATCAGGTGTCAGGTGGAGGGGAGGGGATGGGTGTATACATACACAATGAGTGTGATGTGCACCAACTGGGGGATGTACATGCTTGAAGCTCTGACTTGAGAGAGGAAGGGGGGACAAGGGCAATATACGTAACCTTAACATTTGTACCCCCACAATATGCAGGGAAAAACAAACAAATAAATAAATTGTATTTTCATACTCATTCCCATAGGTCCATCCACATGCCTCTTATTAAAACCTCCCTGTTCCTGATCTTCCAATCATTTTGACTAACCAGTCAAGCCATTAGCCATTGCCTATGATCATATATATTTTTACCTTGGGCTACTTTTATTTTCACATCCAGAATGCCCTTGCGCGTGACCCAAAGCTCTGCCCATTGGAAGGATTTCTCCTCACCACTATCTTACCCAGGCCTGAGGGAAAGACACCGTTCAATAGTGAACAATGAAATTGGAGCCAGAACTCCTGCACCTAATTTGTACCCTCTGACCCCATTCTTTCCCACATACCACTTCTGTCTTACCACAGCCTGTTGCTGGGTCTGCCTAACCTTATGACTCTGTGAGTTGGATAGATCCCATCTCAGTTTGGGATGCATGATCACTTGTCTCAACCAGGGCCTCATGGCATCCAAGGTACAGTTTTTCAAATGGTATATAATTTTAACTACAGGTGGCATGGCTTGGTTGCTGAATCCTGGGGGGCCTGTGTTGTAATTCTCCAACTGAGGCTCGCCCATAGACACCACACTGTATCTATTCCCATCACTGACAGCTCTAACACCATTGGGTCTGTTGGTAACATGGTCCAAGAGGAAGAATCACTCGCATAGTAGCCTGGACCTGCTGTGGAGCACTTTTCTGTTCTGAGCATCATCACTCAAAGCTAGAAGCTGTTTGTGTAGATGGGCTGGAATAGTGTCCTCATATGAAATATACTGCCTCTAGAATCCAAAGAGGCCTACCAACCATTGTGCCTGCCTCTGAGTGGGGAAGTTATAAAATGCAATACAACTTTGAAAGGGGTATCACAGACCGTTGGAGTCCTATAAACTTCACTGATATGGCAGGCCCTGAATCTTCACAGGGTTTATTTCTCAACCACTGAGGGACTGTATCGTAACAAAGCCTTCAATGTGCTTGTAATTTCTTGGTCACCCAGTCCAAATGACACAGTCTTATAAAAATGTAGACCAAGGTGATTTTACATCCAGGGGACACAGGTCCTTCCATCTATTTGTCTTTTTATTCCACTTTTTAGGAATCCTCTTAACTTTATCTTCCAACCCTTCCATTAAATATATTTTATAGTGTTTAAAAATATATCCAAGAACCTGTAATTCCCCATATGTTCCTTTTTTGCGCCTTACTTTTCTATCTTTTACTTCCCTGAGTATCTTACTTAGCCTGGGTTCCCTGAAAGCATAGCCTGTGACAAAGGCTTACACACAAGTCATTTTGGGGGAATGTAGTCCCAGGAAGGTGCAGAGGATATGAACTAAACAGAGCAAGGGGCAAAGCCAAGAAAAGGATGTATTAGGGAGTTGGTTACTGCTATCGGCAACTGGCTCTCAATCCCATGGGACTTTCTGAGTAATACTTTTGAAATAATTCTCAGAACTGTCTGTTAAGGTATAAAAAGGGAGAAGCATTTATTCTGCTCACAGGGTGGTGTTAGTTTTCCCTCACCTCCAAACTGTGCACATGTTAATACCAAGAGGGTTCCCACAACATTAAGCTGGGGTAGGGAGAAGTCCCCAGGCAGGGAACAGGAGGTTATAGCTAGGGCCCAAAACAAGGTAATATCTAGTAGTAGCTGAAGCTGGTCAGGATCATGAGGAATTGGTTACTACAGCAGTGGCTGAAGTAAGTGGTGGGCCAAGAGGACTTTTTTTTTTGAGACAGAGTCTCACTCTGTTGCCTGGGCTAAAGTGCCATGGCATTAGTCTTGCTCACAGCAACCTCAAACTCCTGGGCTCAAGCAATCCTCCTGCCTCAGCCTCCCGAGTAGCTGGGACTACAGGCATGTGCCACCATGCCCTGCTAATATATATAGGCTGGTCTCGAACTCCTGAGCTCAAGCAATCCTCCCTCAGCCTCCCAGAGTGCTAGGATTACGGGCATGAGCCACACCTGGCCGAGGGCCAAGAGGATTTTGAAGTGATATATGTGAGAAGTGTCTGATATACTGAGGATAGCGATGATAACTTTCATTTTTTTAAAATGTTATATTTAATGTTATTCCTCAAAGTTTGACTTTTGTTTGGTCCATACTCTTCACATGAGAATCTCTCCTCAAATGTTTGGTGATTTCTGGCTGTCTGCTCATGTATGAGGCTCTAAAAACCTGACTGGAAGCTCTGTGTGCACGGGAGAGACTTTTCCGCAAAACAGTTTTAGTGGAGGATTATATGGACTGTCCACATCAATGGGAAACTTTAAAACATCATTAACTGTAGGTCTTTTCTCGTAGGCTAATTTCCCTAAAGAAGAATAGGCTAGAATATCCTGCCTGACCAAATGGAGTATAAGTCTGTTTACTAACAATCTGGGAGCTCAGATGTAAAGTAGGCTGAGGTCTCACCATTCAGAAGGTATGTAGGGTGATCTCCTGGCTCTTAGTTCAGTACACCTGCACTCAGCTGTATGTGTACCTGCAGTCTCTTGCAGGGGTGAATGAGAATTGCCAAGGTTTGTGACATGGTGAGGGTGATCTGAGAGTCTATCTGCTTCAATACAGACTTCTAGGTAATTCTAGTTTCAGTCCCACTTTACCTCTACTTCCTAGTCTTTCTGGGTTCTGTGGTGCAAATTCACATGTTTTCGTAATTATCCCATTGTCAACTTAAGTTTTAGTTTTCTCAGGTTTGCCTAGTCATATACTACTCATTCACAAGTTTTCCAGTTTCTAAAGTTTTATAGCTGTTTCACTTCTCTGATTCTTTTTTATTTTTTTAGAGATAGGGTCTTGATATGTTATCCAGGCTAGATTCAAACTCCTGGGCTCAAGGGGATACCTCTCTGATTCTTTTTATCTATTTAGGTCTATGTCTTCTAAAAAAATTCTTTATTGTCACTTTAGTGTGGTTTGAAAGAGCACAAACGTGAATAGGTGTGTTTAATAATCTGTGTTTAAGTGGAACTTTCTGCCTTGTTACTTTCCAAAATATCAAAAAGTTTAAAATTTATATCCCTTATTGTGAACTACCCATGAATAAATGTTGTGAGAGATTGAAAATAGGGACATTAAAAAACTCACTGTCCCTCTTGCCCAACCTGCTATTGGCTCCCTGCTGTTGCTCAAACATCCTGCATGCCCCTGCCACTGGGCCCTTCTGGTTTGGTATTTCCTGTCTGGATTACTCTTGCCCCACAAATTACCATAATGCTCTCCTCACTTCCTTCAGGTTCTTGCTCAAATGCTATTTCATCAAAGATGCCTTTTCCTACCCACTCTATACATCACAATGACAGCCCACCACACCCCTTGTCTGCTGCTAATCCCTATCCCTTTTACCCAGCTTTATTTTTCTCCATAGCACTTATCACTCCTGACATATATTTATTGTTTGTTCCCCCCATTTGAACTTATGCTCTAATAGACAGTTTTGTTCCCTACTCTATCCCAGTACCTAGAACAATGCCTGGCACATGGCTGATGTGCAGTAGTTACTGAAGGAATGAAGGAAGGTAGGAAAAGGGAGGGGAGGGAAAGGAGTAGGAAGCCAAAGAAGAAAGGATGGATGGTTGCTCAGACATTGTATTTGATAGAATATTATGGAAGATAAAACACTTTTGACTGTTTCTTGAGATTTAAGTATGATTTAGCCCAGAAGTTTCCCTAATTTTGGCATATCCTAACCAAGCTAACACTTAACCTTCCCATAAGTTTTTCCCTAAAAACAAAGAGAAAAGGGGGGACAAAGGGGTGTGGATATTGCCAGGGATTTTGTTATTGTATTTTAGCTCCATGAGGACAGGGACTTGTTTAGCTGGCACAGTAGGCACTTAATAAACATCTGTAAAATGACTGTAGACCAGGGACCCCCCGAATGTTCTACTTTGCATAATCTTCCTTCAGGATTTTTTCACATCTTTGAGCTAATGGCAATCCCAATAATCACAGGCTGAATTTCCTGTTATGTCAATAGTCAGATTAACTTTATTTAGAAAAAATAAAGTGACTTTTCTTATATCCCAGAGTTCTTGGAGTAAAATTCACAAATGCCACAAATCTACAGAGAACATTTGGAGAAGGTGGACTACAATTGTAAAGAAAACCTTGGTCTAACTGGAAAAGGAACCTTACTCATACATAGCTCATGAGACCAAATTAAAACATGTGGACTGATAATGAGAATAGGACTTAAGAAAACATTAGTTTAACTTTGACTTTGGGATGGAATAGTCAACTGTAGCCCCAAGGTTTTTCGTGGTCAAAATCAACTAGGTATTTACAGAAATTATTTTTCATCACATAGGCAAGAAGGGACAATATGCAAGACTTAAGCTATTTGCATAAAAAAGATTTCATTTTCTCAAAATGTATTTTAGAAAAAGCTTGTTAACTTCCCACTCCAGATCTCACCCTATACAATATGCTATGAGATACACTACTCTTGATTTGTGAAAGAATTGAGTTTCAGAATAATTTAGTAAGTTTCTGAATATTAAAAACATGAGTATAAAATAAATTGACATTAACAGCTGCTTAACAGTGATAAAATATACTTTTATTTACTTCGTTGAATCAGAGGGTTGTAAAAAAAAATTATTGCTAAAGTAGATATCAGGCAAACAGAAAAGTGCTTTAGAAGTCCAGTTACCTTGGAGTTTATTTAAACTAAGAGAAAAAGTTCATAATGTTTTCATGCAATACATACTTGTTTTTCTTAAATAACAATTGTGAAACAAATAGCAGAATGAATTAAGGAATGCTGCACTTGTGATCCATACAAAACACCAACATTTGGATTGTACATAATTAAAGAAATATCTCAAACACTTTCTGAAATACTGTAGTAGCCAATATATAGAGGCATGCCTTAGGTGGCCATAGGAATGCAGTTTAGAAAAGAAAAAAACAAATCACACAGGACCTACTCAATTTGTTTAAAATCACTGAGCAAGAAAAGCAACACTGAACTTCCATACTGATTTTACACAATTTCTATACAGTACCTTGACTTAAATCCAAGAGCAAAAGTTAAGACTCTCCTCCTCTATTTTTGGTAAACAACTGCATGGTAAACTTAGATGACTTTTCCCCCTGGATTTTTACCTGGGAGTGGCCTTTTTAATTTTTTATTTAAAAGAGGGCAGGTTTGGCACTTTTATACTGATGTCACCAATGTTAATATTTCTTGGGATCTCAGGAAGATTCATATTCTTTACAGCTGATACAGCACGGGCTGGAGCTCCCGCTAAGCCAGCCTGTATACAGAAGCAAATAAAAGAAAAAGAAAATGTACACTCAGGTGTAGCTCATCATAAAACACTTACAATGAAAGACAATGATAAAAGATTTTCATATAACAAGTTTAGAGACCAGATGGTAGTTTGGATTGGTATGGGATGGTTACTTTAAATACTAATCTATAAAGAGAAAACCGTGACACATTTAAAAAATACAGTGAATACATGCAATGATAACAATGTAAAGATTTAAATACAAGTTAATGCATACTACCACACAATATTCACATGACAAAAGCTAAATCTTCAGCTACATCTTGATTTAACTGACATATGACATAAGCACAAAGCACAATTTACATTAATTTCCTTATTAAACATCTCTTGCAACAATCATGACAGATTTTTTTGCATTTAAAATGGCATTTATCGTCAATATGTGTGTGCTGTGAAATAAAAACTGAAAGTAATAGATCATGCTTGTTTATTTTCTTTGCTCAGGGCTAAACCCTTAAAACATTTCAAAACAATAAAATTAGTTTTTAAAATTGTGGGGGTTCTTCTCAACTTTTCTAAGAAAGTTCTGTAACATTAAAAAATAATCAGGCTTTTAAGTAAAGCCTCCATTCAAACAGAATAGTTCTGCCTAAAGATGAAACTACTAGATCATTCCAACCCTTCCATGCATTAGTTAAAATATAATGGTTAAAAAATGTTTTGTTACATAAAGTAGATTCAACATATGTTCAGCTTACAGTATACAAATTTAGACAAAGAATAGCATGATTGCAAGAGGTATTATATATAAAAAAAATGAATTCTAAAATTTCCAGTATCACTAGTGCATACTATTTGGCTTTCTTCTTAGTAGAAAATTTATAATTTTTGAAGTAATTGCAAAAGAAATACCCTTAAAAATAAAAGAAAAATGCACATATATAATTTTTCTCAAATAGCTACATTAATAGCCTTCATATTTAAGGTTTAATTTATATAAGCAATTAGATTTAATTTTTATTCAGGCTATATAATAAAGCAAAGCTATCAAACATATCTGAGTTCAGTGGCATCATTTTGTACAAAAGTAGACAATTAAGTAACAAAAACAAATCTTCCACTTTGCTTATAAAAGACAATGTCTGTGAAATTAGAAACACTAATTTTATAGTCCCTTTTCATAATTTTAGTTTTTTCCTCTTATGTAATCCTACCTCTTTTGTTAATTAAAATAAAAATAATAATAAAGCTGTTACCTGAGAAAAATCTTGACTGATACAAAATAGGCCAGTGTAAACTATTTGCTGAATAAAGGATACAAACATTGTTAAGCAAAGAAATAAAAGTCATGGATTATCAATTCAGAATTGGAAATAATAGAAAAATTAGTAAAATAGTATTAAAATAGATATGGTCCACACAGGTAATGATAAGGGTGATATGGATGAATAACTCCATACCCACTTAAAGACTGAACTGGGCTGGAGAATTAAATTTTTAAAATTTAACGGAGGTTAGTTGTTTCTGATGTACAACTAAAAATCTGACCTCTACATTTATACCTACCTGAAGCAATGAAGTTTTTGTTATACCCCATTTCCCTCCTGCTCCCCGCAAAAATGTTGAAGATACAACTAAATAATATTTAGGGCAGCATGTATCATATTCAAAGGGGTCTTCAATTAGATCATTTGAAGTTAAAGGTATAGCTACTGAAATTTACAATGGTTTAGGATCAAAAAATAATACAGTTCAAAGAAGTTTACCATCTGGTAGGCTTTCAGGAAATGTGTTGTCAGCCAAGGGAACAAAAATTATTTTACAAAATTGCAGATAGCCTGGAACTAGTATCATTTGTCTAGGTAGAAGGATTTTGTAATTATTCTAATTAAAATATCAATTTGTCACTATTTTACTTTGGAATTTCTATAAAGGATACAAATAATGAGTTGACTATAGAAGAGCACTGATAAATATTTGAATATAAATAATTTAGAAGTCATGAATTCTTAAAGAATTTTATTAATGCAAAAGTGAAACAGAGAGAATGGGAGTATATGGCTGTGTCTGTATATTTTACTGTGTGCTATGGTTTACATTTATAAATAGTAAACATATTTTTTTCAGTATTAAATTAAATGTTATGAAGCCTTCTTTTCCATAATACCCTGAAACATGAACAACTAATCTAAAGCAAAGAAAATGAATAAAAAACATATCCTGTTAAGTTTCATTAAATTGTTTCTTTGTGACCAAAGATGGTGTCGACCGTAGGCTGCTAATGAGAATACATAAAGTCAATATAGCAATTGATTTAAATAGCATACATGTGCTTATTATGCAAAACCAAAAGAAGTTTCTAAGTACAACAAACTACAATTCTTCTAAACATAAGCAGCAAGCCATAGACATGCAAAGGATGGGAACTATTCAGAACACGCAAATGAGTTAGGAGAATCAAATTATTTCTCAAGCATGTCCAATACTTTTGTGTAGTATGTCATGAATTTGAATTGTAGGAAATTAAACAACTGTAATATGTGCTTTAAGTTTTAATTAAACTAACATTTTAAGAAATCAGATTCTGCAGGATATAGATTTATGAAGAAAATAACAAGAACTGCTGATCAGTAAATAGATGCTTAAACGTGCTATCAATGTTCATGTATAAAAACTTAGGGCTAAAAAAGGACGACTTTATGTTATTCAGACAGTCAACACCAGAATGGTTATAAAAAACTTCATTTTCAGACTTTCATGAAAGTGAAGTCTGAAACATTTTTATTAAAACAATATGTAAAAGAAGTAATTTGCCATCGGGTAATCAGTTTGCTGACACAGAGGTATTAAAATAATTTTCATCTTGGTTAAGATTTTTTTCCCAGTTAAGATATACTCAAAGCAACCAGATAGCTTTTATTAATTCTTAACTTTTTCAACACTAAAAGTTACAGAAGTTTACCTGATTTGTTAGTAATACAGTAGTCCCCCCCTATCTGCAGTTCTGCTTTCCACGGTTTCATTTACCCGCAGTCAGCTGCAGTCCGAAAACAGGTTAAGTACAGTACAAAATATTTTGAGAGAGACCACATTCACATAACTTTGAGTACAATATTTGTTATAACTGTTCTATTTTATTATTAATTATTTTTGTTAATCTCTCACTGTGTCAAATTTATAAAATTAAACTTTATCAAAGGTATGTACAGGAAAAAACATAGTGTATATAATGCTCAGTACTATCTGTGATTTTAGCCATCCACTGGGGGTCTTGGAATGTATCTATCCCCCAAGGATAAGGGGGAACTACTGTTTATATATTATAAAATGTAAAAATAAGATATTTCTGACAGTACAACATAGTTCTTAAAGATTTAAGATTACATAGTTGACACACAGTAGGAATAAAAAGAATGAAATTCTACTAGAGAAATAACTTGTTTCCATCTACGTTATACTGGAGCACCACCATGGCAGGTAAACTGTAGCAACTATACTAAGAAAAACAAATATATGAATCCAAAGCAGTTAAGAGTATGAATTGGATGAAAGAATGAAGTACAGTATATAAAAAGAATGGTCATGTTTTCTCTCCCATGAGATTAAATAAATTAACAGAATTAAGAGAAAGAAAACAAAATGAAGTCTGCAAGTATACCAAAATGAGGCCAAACAGATAGAAGACTTATACAGACATACTCTTGGAAATTTCAAGCACTTGAATCACAAAGATAGTAATGGATGGATATGATTTGTTTTTGATTTTGTTTTTAAATTGCCAGACCCAAAAATAAACAAAATATGTGCAAGCAAAACTGAAAAAGCAGCATTACTAAAATATATTTCAAAGAACCTGAAAGCTCCCTTTTCCTCATGCAGTAAGCAATTAACTTTCTTAAGGGAAAAGAACAGTAATAGCCTATTTATTTCATCTAAGATACAAAATACCATCCTACCATCTTAAAATATTTTTTCCAAGCAAGAAATATAGCATAATAAGATGGTAGTTGGAATAATTTGTACATACTAAACCTTTACCCACCCTTCCTGCTGGAAGATACTATATGCGCATTCATAATTTTAACCTAATAGCAGAGTGAAAGAACATGAACATTAATAAACATAGTATTAAATGGTTTCAGACTCAAAATCATTAACAAAATAATGGCAGATTTTGAAGGCATGTTTTTGAGCAAAACAGAAAATTTTAATATTTTAATTTCTGAATATGAGGCAGAATAAATTTTAAGCTGGGGACTCATAATAGGCTTGCTCTTTGCTTTAAAGACAGTGCTTTAATACTGCAATTATAAACAGATTAGAAATGCTGATGACAGTCTTCCAGTGAGCAAGAACTATATCATTTTATAAATAATTTTATCAAAATTAGAATGTTTAAAAATTTAAAAACCTTCAAAATTACTAGTCATTTTATATAGATTATCTTCAGTTATAGTTTTAATTTCTAATATGGCATTTCCCTATCTGAAAGAAATATAGCAAGCTAATGACATTCATGGATTTATTATTTCTGGTTTTGACCATTACAAGTGACCTCAGGGGTCCTCACCGTTGTGCATGTCAGGGTGGAGGAGCAGAACTAACTCAGGAACTGACCTTCCAACATCTGTATCTTAAGGCCACTTTTCTTATTCTCTGCTCTTTGAAAATAGATATTCAATTAAATAAGAAGCCAATTACTAGTTCTAGAGATGTATGCTAACAGACTTAAGTGATTAGTGGTTCTTTGCTAGAAAACAGAAGTTTAATATAAATACTGGAACACAGAAATTGGCAGAGATTTCACTTGATGGGGTTTATGAGATCACTATGTATTTTCTATACCAGGGATAAAGTAACACAGACACAGGGACCAAAAATGGTATGCCCAGCTTCGTGATATAGCCCACAATCTCAAAATAAGATATTGTAAAGCCACCTATATGTTGCTACTTCTCAAACATATTCAGAGTAATAATTTAATGGCTAAAATCCAATGCCAAATTCTCAGTGATATTTTTCTAATTAGCAAGGTAGAACTTAAGTTTATAGATTTTTTTCCCTCAATAGGATACAATGATTTATTTTCATTTTAAAAATTTAAATTAGAAGCTATGAAAATTTTTATTTTTCCTGAAATGGTTTTGTACAAAAGAGCTGCCATCATCACCATCTACAGGAAACGTTTTAAAAAGCAATTCACGATTAATTTATGGTGTGAAAAAATGTACAGGAAATATTAGAATAAAAATTAGTTTTGTAAAGATAGGGGTTTATTAAAAACATTTCCAATACTTGCCAATAAACTTTGCAAAAATATTCAGGGTTTTTATTCAATATTGGATAAAATATCATTCAATACTTCATTGAATCTGATTATGACATGTTTGGATGTCAGGTTTGTCAAAATGGAAACCCATTGTATTATATTTTGGTCAATGTACTTAATTCCATTTTTAGAGCATTTAATTCAAGTTTTAGAAGATTTCTGATCTTATTTTCTGTTGGCCACTGTTAATATGCACTTGCAGAACAAAACTGTAAAAGCAATTCTGTTAAGACTTTGGAACTGAAAACCATTTGGGGAGAAAAAAGTACTATTTAGCAGTCACTCTTCTAAGTCTTCACTGCTTCCCACTTTGTATGCAAAACTCTAGAGGTTCAGCTTTTGGTTTTTAAATTCACAGCTTCTAAAACCCAGCAGGCAATTTTATGTTAGAATCCTAATTTGGAGGTAGAAAAAAAATCTGTGAGAGTTAAATTAAGATTGGTTCTGTTATATGATTCTTAAAATAAATTCTTAGGTTTTCATATACAAAGTAAATTGTCATTTCTACAAATGCAAATTTGTCAGTTAGATGACAATGTTCTTAAAAAAAAATTAAACTTTCATCTTACAATGCAGGCAGACAAAACAGAACAAACATGACATCAATGATATACTAGTAAAATACACTAAGTCCAATAAAAGATGAAGAAACTACAAGGAGAAACTAGAATGGAAATAGGCTACAGGGACTATATGGGATCATTAACACAAAGAATTTTTGAGTCTGGCCTAAATAATTAATTGCCTTTGACATCATTTTGCTTTCCCTTTGTTAAAGTACATTTTTCTCAAAGTCAGCAATACCTTGTCTACCTGTCCTGTCTGGGAGACTGAAAGATAAAGGTCTGTAAGAGAGAAGAATGGAAAGAGCTAGAAAGATCAGGATGTTCGGGAAAAAAAGAGGACTGACTTTTAAAAAGTAGTGACTAAATTCAGACTCATTTACCCATCTTAAAAATAACATGAAATACATAAAAGCTAACAAGTCTCCCCAAGGCCACCACCCCCTACCTCCACCCCCAGGGAGCCCTTTTATTCTTAGGCAGATTCCTGGGTACCTCTTACACTTCCCCCAAATCCCACCAACCTCCCAGCTTAAACCCTCCGCTCCCAAGATCCCAATGTTATAGTAAACCACTTTTCCATCAAAACAATAGATGACAACAAATTCAGAGTGTATCTTTGCTTTTCCTCTCTTTAAAGATGGGGCATCTTTGCTTCTACCTAAGTATTGAGAATTAAACTGGTTTGCTTTATTCCATTACCAGAATGTTCCACCTTTAAGCCAATATAATAAAATCTTCGATTTCTGACCCCTAGATAAATCCTTGTTATATTTTAAAATCTGCAAGTTAATTATGCCCAGGCTGATTTTTAAAAGGTAAATACTATTCCTACAACATTTCTTATATGAATTGTTAAAATATGCTAACCAGTTCTTTTCATTAATCATGAAATTCTGGATTGCAATTAAGACTTTCTTAGGTTTTTTGCTTATATTTATAATAAATTTTAATGGAAATTTAGTAAGAGATTAATAAAAGTTTATACTTATGCTTTCAAATAATTTTGGATTATTCCACAAAGTCATATCTCTGGTATATAACCAGTTAAAGTAACATGGAAATGAAACATGTATAAAAACCTTTGACATTTCAATGTGTTTGATATAAAGCTGGCAGCCTTTCAAACATACTTAAATAATATGAAAATTGTTGAAAAATTAGAGTCAACATAATTTTCAACACTGTTTTTAAAATATGGTCAGGCCTTACTTTAACTTGAAATTCTATTTAACTAAAATATTAGCAGATATCACATGTAGAGAACACTTGATAAATGTGTAATTTTGTGATTTATCCCCAATCAGATTCAAAACATACTTTCTTATAAATCACAAAAAGGAAAACTAATTTGGTAGCAGAGAACAAATGATTATATATGTTACAAGATGACTGGTGGAGAATAATAGAAATGTTCAACAGTATTCTAAACTATTTTAAATAGCATTATTTCTGTGAAAGGATTTTATAGTATTCTTATGACTATTTCCTTCAAAAATGCAAATTCTGCATTTTATTGCTCTTTATAGATAAGAAAAATTACTTCGTTAACAAAGTGTTACTGGACAATCAAAAGTAAATACCCATTATGCAATTATTATAGGTCCTTCACGACTTTTTAAAAATATTATATGTACCACACTAAGGAGCAAAAGAAAAAGAAGGGACACCACCAATGGAAAGGAAGTAAGCACTTGGAAATATGAGAATTCCAGTCAAGTGATCAATATATTTTTATAAATGATTACACAGAATTCACAAATTACCATATATCCATTCATTTTAGACCTATTATTAATGGATTGTGTCACTGTTTGCCCATTGGCATTTAAAAGCTATAACCATACAGTTTTGTAAAGCAATGTTAAACAAATTACATACATTTTAAGACTTTAAAAACTATAGTTTAGGGTTTATAGTAAATCTTTTCTGTACTAAACAATATACTGTGAGTTAGCAATGCTAAATAATATTCTGAGTCCATTTCCTTGTCTTAAAGCAAAATTTTCCCTATTAACCTAGTTTATGTTTGTTTTCCCCTTTCAAAAACCAGTATTTTAAATATAGGCTATAGAATACACAAAATAAGAGAGTCATAGCTCTTCATCACCATTACAAGTGTCTCCTTTGGGAAACCAATAGGCATGGCAAATTGAGGTAAGGAGAAATGCAAGACTATTTTTGATTTAAAATAGCACATTAGAAAATGTTTCTAACCCTCAGATTTCAGATTTATCCATCATCCTGTGTTTCCTTCAATTCAAATGAGTACAGAATTGCATTAAATTGATCCTTTAACATGCCAACAAGATAATTTTTTCAGAACTCACCTGTTGTAAATTAATGCCAATATGTTGGCGTAACTTGCTGATTTCATAGTAATATTTACTTTAAATCAACCAAACATCTGAGCTTACACTATTAGAAATAAAATTTGTTTTTTCCAATCTCATTTATGACTGTAAATACTAAACGTACAAATATCCTCAAACAAGTAGTGTTGAATGATATATCAAGACTATTCATGGTTGATGGTAATAAACAACTAAAGTAATGTAAACTTGAGTGACTCAGCTATAGCAAGCACCTGCTGCTGGTATTCAGCCTAGTGCTTGAGGGAAGAGTCACTAAAATTCTAAAGTAAGGTTTTATACAGCACATAAGTGCTGGTTGGTCCTCATACACCAATCTAAGATTCAATCTAACAGCACAAAGTTAGCCAAGTATAACAAACCAAATACTGCCCTCACAGAATGCAGTGAAAACCATGAATATATATGTATCTATGTATGAGCTATGTGGCTTAACTAACTTGTCAGTGACCTCTGGGAAAGATCCAGTATTAAAAGATTAAGGTATTGAATTTCTTTCTTGAATGTACACTCTGACTTATTAAGCACCTATTATAAATTAAAACATTATTTCCTCATAAGCATTCCATTTCTTCTCCTTTCCCTTTCCAGAAATAGTTTTGTAACACTAAATTTACATATCTTTAAAATATCAATTCTAGGATTTCTTTGGAAATCACTGAAGTTTTGCAAAGCAAGTATTAGGTTACATTATTCAAATAAGTAATTTTTTTTAAACAATAAAATTTGGAATTATATTTACTACCCAACATAGCTATGACTGTGTCTAAAAGAATACACAAAGCTATTTGGTAGATATTAGTCACAGAACATTTAACATACTAAAATGTGTATCTTCCATTTCTTCTAAAACTGAATAAGCATATTGGTTATACCTAAAGGGTGATACTGAAGGACAAACAGTGAAAGCTACAAATCATGCGTATTTATGATCATGCTTAGAACCTTTCTTAACTAGAGCATTTTCCATTCTTACCTCAGATTTCTCCAGTTTATTTTGTGCATCAATTTGCGTTACAATCTCATTCATGTTGGTCTCCAATACCATTCCCCCCATCACCATTTCTGCAAGAATATTGTGAACCTAGAGGAAAAAATAATATACACTCATAAAAATAATTGACTACAGAAAAGTTCCATGATTTCAGTAATTTTTATTTCAAATTCTGTCACGTCTTTTATAAGGATGACTGGTCAGAATAATTTGGAGTGAGAGTTCAAAATCCACTTTCATCACTACTCTGAAGCCCTAGGAAGTTATATAACCTCTAAATCTTTGTTTAATGGGCTGTAAAATGAAGATAATAATAGTACTGCCTTCACAGGAGGTAATTCATGGAAGTACCCAAAGTAAATGATCAATAAATATTAACTACCATTATTATTATATTAAATTTAATAATTAAAAATGATCTACAAGGGCCTTTTTTTTTGAGACAGACTCTCACTCTGTTGCCCAGGCTAGAGTGCTATGGCATCAGCCCAGCTCACAGCAACCTCAAAAGTCCTGGGCTCAAGCGATTCTTCTGCCTCAGCCTCCTGAGTAGCATGGTCTATAGGTATGTGTCATCATGCCCAGCTAATTTTTTTCTATATGTTTTTAGTTGTCCAGCTAATTTCTATTTTTTTTTTTTTTTTTTAGTAGAGATGGGGTCTCGCTCTTGCTCAGGCTGGTCTCGAACTCCTGAGCTCAAATGATCCATACAAGGGCCTTTTATCCAAGATTCTTAGCCAACAATTATTAGGTTTTTATTTTATACTCATGATACTTAATGAAGCCATGTACTAGTAATAAGCTCTAGGTCAGAATAATAGTAGAATTTTCTTTTTATTGTAGATACTTTGTGCTTTAACCCCCAAACTGTCTAACCATGTAATACTCAGATTTCTTATCACAAATACAATAATTAAAAATAGTGTCTTCCATTGGGGAGTAAAACCCAGGTGCAACATAACCCAGGTGCTTTTTCATAAGTAAATACTGGATCAAAAACCAACAAATCAGAGCTGAATGAGGTTTCGCAGAATAGTATACTCTATACTCTGCTATAACTTCTTAAAAATAATCTGGTAAGTTAGAAATGGGGACACTGAAATTAGATAGGCATGAATACTGACTCTATCACTTACTGGTTGCACTCCCTGAGCAGTTACTTCACCTCTCTGAGTAAAGTAACTTATTTATGAAATAGGGATGGAAGTAGTATAGGCACCTCATAGGGTTATCATAAGAATTAAAAAAATAGTTCATGTAAGTGTTTAGCACAGTGCCACTAGCTATTATAAGGTATTTACTTTTTTCCAACAAAAACTTTTCTGAAGTTAAACATATAATTAAATTACTCAATTTTCATTCCTTTCAAGATTTCATACAAATGTGTTCATGATTTTAAAAATATTGTATCATTATTATTTACTAATTTTTCATTTTGGAAAGGATACCTCATGTACAAACTTTGAAGAAAGATTTATATTAATTACTTTTCCTAGCAAACAACACAAAACCAGAAGTCACAGTTGTTTTGAAAACTAATGCTAAATATCATAACTTCTACTATCACTAATGTGACTAGATATTATTTATTAAAGCTATGTTTTGATGTGTGCTTAGGGGATATAATTTAATCCTCACATCAACCTTTGTTACAGCTGAGAGAATAAACCAGCTTAGTCAAAACACATAAGCTAGTATGTGGCAAACCAACAACTGAAACCTAAATCTGAGTGACCCAAGTTCATTTTCTTGCTCTCTTCCATAACAAAAATGAATGAAAATGACATAGCTAATTAACTTTCAGTCATAATCTATTAAAATTCACTTAATGCTCAAGAAGGTAATTAGGTAAAATTACCTTATAATATAGTTAATAGGTACTGCATGCAGGAAGAGTGTTCAGAAAGACCATAGCCAGAGGACAGAGATTTTTTAAAACTTCTGAAGTGGAAACTCGCCTCTTCTTTTTAAAACAAATTCTCATGAGAAAACACAATTTATAAGGTTCATAAAAGCTTTACAAATTGGGGGTGGGAGTGTAGTAACTCCTCCACTTTACTTAGCCACCCTTAATGGGCTCAGAACCTCCTTATCCCTATGTGAATTACACTACTGCCTTTCCGGAAATATCTCAGAACACAAGCACTAGATTAGTGGAATCCATAAATTTTAGTACTGTAGAAATGTCTACAAGGTTCAGAGGTATTACAGTACAAGTGGCTCGCCAATGGGGGTCACACTCAAGAAATTTTAAGAATGTATGTCAATTTAAGAGATAAGAACTAAGATGGGAATAACTCCTATGAAAATAACTCAAAATAAAATAACTCCTATGAAAGGAAGTTCAAAGCAAAGCAAAAATAACTCCTATGAAAGGAAGTTCAGAAATCCAGAAGAGACAGAAAATAGAAAAGGGTCCTGTGAGCTAAATCCTTGCAGAAATATAATCCCACTTATTATAAAGATAAAAATGCCTAAAGACTATATTTCTTGATGGGGAGGTACTATACATTACATGGAAAATTCAGAAAGATAAACATGTAAGGAAATGAGAATTATTAATTGTATGGCTACTCTAGTATTATGAAGGACATAATATCCCAAATAAGCTATGTCACATGACGAGAGGAAATTTAGAAGTTGAATGTAACATGTCCAGTGATGAAGAATTCATGTTCCCAGAATTGGTAAGAATTTTTGCAGACTTAACAAAAGAAAGAGAATGATAAAAGATCTGCTTTTAGGTCAGCCCTAACTCATATGGTTGACATATTCTAGTACTTTGTCTCATATATATTTTATTTAAAACAGATTTTTATGGGAATAAAAAAAGGGTGACAAGATACTTATAATACAATTGATCTATTAAACTGCTTTGATGCACCTAAAATAAGAATTCAATGAGTTTTTATCTTTTCTAAAATTGTATAGGTACTTAAATGTTTAAGAAACAGTAAATACTACATTAACAATGTACTTCAGGCCGGGCACGGTGGCTCACGCCTGTAATCCTAGCACTCTGGGAGGCCGAGGCGGGCGGATTGCTCGAGGTCAGGAGTTCAAAACCAGCCTGAGCAAGACCCTATCTCTACTAAAAATAGAAAGAAATTAATTGGACAACTAAAAATATATATACAAAAATTAGCCGGGCATGGTGGCACATGCCTGTAGTCCCAGCTACTTGGGAGGCTGAGGCAGAAGGATCGTCTGAGCCCAGGAGTTTGAGGTTGCTGTGAGCTAGGCTAATGCCATGGCACTCACTCTAGCCTGGGCAACAAAGTGAGACTCTGTCTCAAAAAAAAACAAAAACAAAAACAAACAAACAATGTACTTCTGCTGTTTTTCTGTTTGTTTTTAATATTTGCCCTATCTACCCAATGGCACAGTTTCTTCTGGACATAGACCAGAACTTCTAAATTTCATTTTTATGGTTTGGTTTTGTTTGTTTGTTTGTTTATTTATTTATTTGGACAGGTTCTCACTCTGTTGCCTGGCCTAGAGTGCAGTGGCATCATCATAAGCTCAATGTAACCTCTAACTCCTGGACTCAACGAATCCTTCTGCCTCAGCCTCCTGAGTAGCTGGGACTACAGGAGTGAACCATTATGCCTGGCTAATTTTTCTATTTTTTTTTGTAGAGACAAGGTCTCATTATGTTGATCAGAAGGTCTTAAACTCCCGGACTCAAGTGATTCTCCCGCCTCAGCTTCCCAAAGTGCTAGGATTGCAGGCGTGAGCCACTATGCCTGGCTCATGTTTATGTTTTTAAAAAATAGCAATATAGGCAAGTGACTAAGAGTTCAAGTCATATATACATACAAACAATAGTCTCCACCACACTCTGCATCTGTTATTAGGTCCCTCTATCCAAAGATAATCAGTTAGCTATATCTTATATATCCCTCTAGAAAACTTGTTAAGCACACACTTGTTACATGTGTGTGCACATGTGTATCTAATTTACACAAATGAGAATATACTATATACATTATTTTCATAGTTATGCAAGAAAATAAAGAATAGATTAAAAGTTAGAGGCAGGAGAGAATGAGGAATGAAGTTAAGAAAATCATAACAAAGACACTGGTGCCAGATAAACGTTCAAAAATGATCAATGAAATAATCAATGATGAATGAAACTCTATTGGTAAGAGCAAACAAAAATACAAAAATGTATAACAGTGAATCTACGTTATTATACATTTGAAAAATGAGAGAAATCTATAGATTACTGAAAAATATAGTTTATTAAATGAAAAAAAAACAGTGGTACAGACAATATCTATAATATGGTCCTACTGAGGTTTTACCAAAGAAATTTATACACTTGGATATAGCCAGAATATTTCCAGAAAAGCATTAAAATACTTTTCAATATACAGTTTCCTTAAGAATGGGACTAGAGAAGTGAGGAAGAATGGAGACTTACCTTTCATTTTACAGTTTTGTTCGGAAAAATTTTAACATATGCATGTAAAGAAAAAAAAACCCAGCTTACTAAAAGTAAAAGAGGGATGGCAGTAATTCACAGGAACAACATTAAAAGCCTAAACTAAAGTAATGGCCATGCACAGGCTTTATTTATGTATGAAGTATCACAAAGGTGCTGAATATTACTTGGTAATAAGAAAAGGCAGGCATGCCACTTTTCACATGTATTTAAATGGTAAGAACTCTATCTTATACATGTGTCTATGCAGAACCTGGAAACCTTTGCTGAAAACTACTATAAGATATTTAAGGATTTAATGATGTAGCATTTTATTACTATTCATAAAGTATTATAAAGCACACTGTGGGTATCTAATAAATATTAAACATACTTTTTTCATTCAAAGTAATATATATCAATTAGGTCAAAATTCTAAAATTACAGAACAAAGCATTTATTTGTATTCAACAGTTTTCACTACCTTGCAATCAGTAAATCATTTATTAAGTATTTATATATAGTGTTTACAGACAGCAACATCCTAGCTTGAAAAAAGCCTATATAGTCATTGAAAAGTAGAATGAAGATAAAAATTAGGTCATTAAATATGTAATGTCTGATTTCAACTCAAAAATATAGTTTATTATATCTCAAACAC